TTCGAAACCACGCCAGTCGACTCAATGACAGACTTTATGATACAGCGCGCGCACGCTAACCATTCAGCCATCCAACACCCCGGGAACGAACGAAAATACGAACAAACAAACAAAACAAACGAACGAACGAACGAACGAACGAACGAACGATTCTCAATAAAACTCTTGGCCCAACATAGATATAAACGTCCGGTCTTCATTAATATATTATTATATAATTTGTTGTTAATAAATTCGCATTTAGAATAATTTGAAATTCTCTTATTTAGGCTAACTCCTAACCTTCCTTTTCAATTAACGATGTATGGGATTGGTCAAACAAATCGTACAATTATCAAGGGCGAATAATTTGAAAACGTGTCTCCCCCATAGATTAACCCAGGGGTTAGTGGAGTAGAACGGAATGAAATCACTGGGGATACCGAGGATGAATAATGTATTGTATGATTATTTCACGTGCGACCATAAGACTGGGATTGAGGTTTATATAGATATCACAGCAAGTGATGGTAATTCCTATGCGTACCAATTGTGCCACAATACCTTTAAATTTAATTCAATCGTCTTTGAGGCTCTGGTTAAATTGACGGTCCCTTCAAGATAAAAAAACAATACACTTATGCTTAACTTGATTTGTGATCACTTTTTAGAACTTGTACGTACAATACTTACGATTATATTGCTAATTAACTGCATGTGCATTTATTGTTCTATTTGTTTTATTTTAGAATAAATGTCGACCCATTCAGTGTTACTCTAATAAGGTACTACGAGGTGGATATTGCGAGTATGATAATATAACAGCATTGGGTAATACCTATCAAATGATGATTAATTTAAAGATACCAACCAGAGCTCGGGTTCCATTCTTTAAACAAATGATAGGAAACATGATGACATCAATATCGTTACTGATATACTCTACTGATTATACAGTCACTACTTCTAAACCAGTGTTGATCGGGGGATCTTCATATATCTATATGAATGTTTGGTTTATCGTGAATAGCAACATCACATTAGAGGACTATGAAACTGTTATCTCCAGGAGTGGTGCTGAAGACTTCGGGGCTTCAGCTTTAACACTTTATCATACAATAAATTATACATACGTATCTCACTCGCAGCCTATTATGCGACATTTTGTCTCCAACATAACCACGAAGCTGTGTTGTTCCGAAAAGCCTGTTGCAGAGGACGGAGAAATAATAGCCGCTAAATACAGCTATGAACCAATAAGCCACCAGATGTCCTGTTCATTTATTGAATTTTATAACAAAGAGTTTGATGTCGATAATGCATTGGCATCTGTTGAACATCTCAACCTTACCTTATCTGATGACGAGTTTTCTGTGTTTCACGATGACCTTAGGGTATGTTTTCAGACATTTCTCAATAAAACCAACTTTACGCACAGTAACGAAACCATAGAGTACTATGACACCCACACAAAATTTGATTGGATTCTCCGGTATTTAACTATTGTTTTGATCACTCTGTCTTTGATATCTATATGTATAGCTTTAATAACATATGGTATGTTCCCAGAAATGAGAACACAGCCAGGCATCAACAACATAGGGTTAATGCTTAATCTTTTTCTTGCTCAGTTAATCTTAATTACGGGCCTGGATCAGACACAAGATAAAATATTGTGTAGAAGTATTGGAATAAGCATCCATTACCTCTGGCTCGGTATGGCACTATGGATGAATGTGTGTACCTATCACATGTTCAAGGTATTTGTTTTACAGAAACTGGTCAGAAATTCTGCTCAGTCTCACGGTATTCAGACACTGAACTACATTGCTTATGCCAATGGGTTGCCAGTGATACTGATAGTTTGTATAGTTATTACAAATGTCACGTTATCCGGGGGAATGGACATAGGTTATGGGGGTAATGTGTGTTATCTATCCTCTAAACAACTTGTGGGCTATTGTTTTGTTTTACCCTTATGTCTCGTCATTATCCTAAATATTGTTTTCTTTTTGTTGACAATTATCTCCATCTCTCGCGTTAAACAACAGGGAAAACAATCTGGAGAACGTAACAATATTGTAATTTATATAAAGCTTTCTGTTCTGACCGGTCTGTTTTGGTTGCTAGCTGTTTTATCAAATTTTATCACCAGCTGGGCTTTAGAATATCTGTCTGTAATTTTTAATGCATCTCAAGGGGTCTTCATTCTGTGGTCCTTTATATTAAATAAATCTGTGCTTTCTAAATGGAAGCAACGACTATTTAGTGAAGCTGAATCTGGCTCCACTGAACAAGCGACAAAATCTAGCCAACTTAAGTCAGTGTAGATCCGGCTTGTAGTATAGTCAGGGGTTTTAGCCATCGTTAACATACTTAAAGCTCTGAAATACTTAAAGCTCTGACATACTTGCATTGCAGCTACATGTTAGTCTGACTGATGGTAGACATGACGTTAAACACTTAATACAATACAATACGTAGCGAACTTACCCATAGCAGCTACATGTTAGTCTGGCTGGTTGTAGACATGACGTTAAACATTCAATACAATACATAGAGGACTTACCAATAGCAGCTACATGTTAGTCTGGCTGGTTGTAGACATGACGTTAAACATTCAATACAATACATAGAGGACTTACCAATAGCAGACACATGTTGGTCTAGCTAATATAACTTATATACATGATCATATGTATAGGACTTAAAACGTTCAACACAATACCTAGAGGACCTAGTCATGGGAGAACGCGAGTGACATTTATATAGTGTAGTAGTAGTAGTAGTAGTAGTAGTAATATTTGTAGTAGTAAAATTTATAGTAGTATTTGTTTATTTCTGTATTCTCCAATAATAGACCTTAAGATAATCATCATCTATAAGCCCCAGTATAAATCACAGGAATTATTATATATAACTTGTCTCCAATAAATACACTGGAATTATTATATATAACTTGTCTCCAATAAATACAGGTGTTGGTTTAACAATACAGCTTTATAATCATGTTTAATAAATAAACCAGAAGGTTTGACATTTAGAAATAATTTGTTATAATACCCTTAAGATAATATTATATGTATATGTAACTGTTTTATCAATTTAATTACTTGTAATTATTATCCTTAAGGGGCATGTTTTAGCGATATACTTGTAATATAAAACTAGAATAGGTGGTATGATATGTTGTTTCTTACACAGAAATATTTCAACAAAATTTTACGAGTGAAATATATATATATATATATGTATAATTAACAATGCAGGTGATTATTGTGTGGTATGGACAGGTGACCAAACAAATAATAGTTACACCATTTATTAATATATGTAATATAGGTAGATACAACTAATTTATAAACTAAATTAAAGAAATATACCAAAATAATAATTTAAATTAGTAATTGTTAATTATATTATCACAAAAATGCTAATTTAAATTAGTATTTTAGTGTATTTCTGTAATGTTAATAATATATATATATATATATATATATATATATATATATATATATATATATATATATAGTATTTTAGTGTATTTCTGTAATTGTTATTTATATTATCACCAAAATAATATATATGATAATCTTTCTCTTTTTGTCAATTCCATTACTTGTAATTATATATTGTCTATTATATATTGTCAATTCTAATACTTGTAATTATATATTGTCTATTATATATTGTATATCATGTATTGTCAATTATATATCGTCAATTTTATTATTTATCTATTGTCTATTATGTATTGTCTATATTTCATATATTGTCTATATTTTATATATTGTCTATATATTATGTATTGTCTATTATGTATTGTCTATTATATATTATCTATATATTATATATTGTCTATATATTATGTATTGTCTATATATTATGTATTGTCTATATATTATACATTGTCTATTATATATTTTCTATATATCATATGTTGTCTATATATTATATATTGTCTAGATATAGTGTTGTTAATTTTAATAAACTTTAATGTAACTTACTAATGATTTTTGAGTATACTCCCTTCTTCTTCTTCTATTAGTTTTTAACGTCCGCTTCAACCGAGTGTTGTATCGCAGACAAATTGTCTTTTTTTTATTATATTAGCGCATGCGCAGAAGGTATTTCCTGTAGGAGGAGACCGGAGTACTCTCAACGAGGTTGAGAAGGCGTCCCTATCTCCAAACCACATACGCTTACACCAGGGATCGAAACTACGACCAGATAGAACTCGAAGCGCGACACTCTAGACAACTAGGCCACCCCAATGCCCACTCACTGGTCTTTTGTATACAGGGGCAGATTGGACCATTGGGCGATCGGCGATCGCCCGAAGGGCCGGTCGGACAAATAATGAAAAAAATAATTTTGTCCAATTCGTCTAAAAAACCTTTTTTTCTGCTGAACATTATATGGGGGGCGGGGGTATTGGACCGGCCATGGAGCGATGATGATCATGTTGTATGTGGCCTGTGACTTTAACGGGCCGCCATGCCATCACTGGAGTCTGGAATGCGCTGGTATAATAGACTTTCTGGGCCGGGTGTGCTGGGTGTGGGCCGGAATTCGGAATCTTGCAATGGGGATTCCGAATTTCATCCGAAAATTTCATCGGACTCACCCGACACTGTCGCCCGCAAATTTACTAATTATTAAGTCACCTGCACCCTGTTTGTGGGGATACGCCAGAAACGTCTGCCAATGGTTCGTATATCGAAAAAAAATTCAATTTTAAGACCTCAGCAAAATTTGGTGATAGCTGGTCTGCTGGCTGAATTTGACAAAGAATATAATTAGATATGCCACCAAATCGCATATTTGGGGTTCATTTTTCAAAATGTTCCCGCGGTAGAGCACCCGGACAATCACGCTACTAGTTTGGTGAACCGGGAATTAAGACTCAAGATGACGGTAAACTTTGATGGGACGTCCGGACCATACGTCCACATGAAAATAAAATATTAAGATCTGTCTTTGTATCCGATTGGATAAAAGAACAAACAAACAAAACTTACCAGTTGCACAGCGACTTCCGGTATATTCAGCGTTACACTGACAGGAACATGTACTGGTGTCTAAACTTCCAAAATTACAAGATGTTGTTGTTAGACCACATGGTGCTGTAAATAAATATTATTATTATACAATTATCACAAGATGTTGTTGTTAGACCACATGGTGCTGTAAATAAATATTATTATTGCACAATTACCACAAGATGTTGTTCTTAGACCACATGGTGCTGTAAATAAATATCATTATGTAGTCATCTAAAAACATCATCCATAGAGTCATCGTGACTAACAACACTTGTAGGTTTGGTGAAACAAATTACAAACAAATTCTTGGTATAACGATGGATACCAAGGCAGCACCACAATTACATAATTTATCAATGTAGAATTCAATATGACATGAATTACAGATTATATTTAGAAAATCAATTGAGACGGTGTATTTTCCTATTCGGTATGAAAAAAGCCTGCACAGACTACACATTAAACATATATACTAGATACAAGAAAATTCAAATATAACTTACGAAGTTGACATTGTGTACCAGAATATCCCTCAAAACAAACACAAGAACACAAATCAGTAAGAAGAAATCCCTTTACACCGCAATAACTTGAGGGTAAATTACAAATCTCTGAAATTAGAGAAACTCCCACAAATCATACAAAGTACACACACATTCATTCTCTAGTGATCTCAACGCTAGTCACCTTGTTTGAAAAATCTCTGATAAAAACTTTGTACCGCCTTTATCGAATTCGCCAAGCATTCGGCTAAGGGGACTTTCTTATCTCTGAAATGAAAGCTTTCGGAAATCAAAATGAAATGAAATGAAATTGGTTATTACGTTCTATTGTTCTGCTCCGACTGCCATACAGTGAGCTATTAGGGAAATTTTGCCGGGACAGCGGCGCTACGACCTTCTCTTATATCGAATTCCAACTGCCAATGGTCCTCTTACGTGTAGGCCAATGTGTATACACATCCGAATGACTAGACAGCTGTCCTTGTCAGGCACTCCTTCTTGCACCACTGACCATGGGGGGGGGGGGGGTACGCTTGAAAATCCCGATGAACTTTCTCGGCCAACACCGGGATCGAACCCGCGAACCTCAGGTTAGCGAGCTTACATACTTAGCCACCGTGGCTGCCAGGAACGCAAAGTTGTGATTTTCCGGTGTGGTTTTCCATTGTCAGTGATGCAGGACGAAGTGTCTAGTCGTTCGGATGGGAATTCAATGGGCGTCCTCGCTAGAGATAAAGGGACATAATTTATAGGCGAGGCGGTCCCACGTGACCCCATTGTTTACCTTATAGCACAGTTTTCCTGTACATTCATTACGAACTCGTGTGTTGACAAACGTTAGTTTTTGTCGTTAATATGGAATTTAATACCGATACGGTTCTCTTACCATCGATAAGGTCACGTGAAACTGAGTTTTTACTAGCGACACCTGGTGGGAATTCTATCAGCGAGGACTCCCATTGCTGTCTGGGCAAAATTGTACTCATGGCACACTGTATACCGTATGTCCGTATTAATTAGCCCAGTAGAGACAGAATAGTAGGATATTAAACCCATTTCATGTTCGAATTCATTAGCTCAGTGGGAGGAGTAGAGTAGGATGTTAAAGGGCTAATCCCGATAATTTTTTGGAGAATAAAACTGTTTAATTTTGTTTTAAAATCCCTGAAAATCCTCTACCTAAGGGCCGAGCAACTAACTCAATATTTGTGACAAGTTGTCAAATAACTGAAATTCGTCAGTCTTCATCTGGAAATGGAGACCAGTATCCAAAGCTGTATTATGCGGTGTCTAGATAAAACCAGACATTTTCTGTATAAAAATAATGTGTAGGTGAAATTTACCTTTCATTATCAAGTACAGCATTTGGGTCATTCACTGTATAGACCCCTCAATGAACGGAAATCGATTATCAGGTCTCCCAACGAAAAAATTGACCCGAAATCTTAAAAGGGTTACGTGTCCGGATAAGCAGTTTTGATGGTCACGTCCAAACGACTCAATATTTTGAGCTGGAATTTTGAGATACGGTCCATACACCATTCCTTTATAGTTTGGCGTTTAAATTCCATACATACTCAGACTTTTATTTTTGAAACTCTGTTCCATCATAAACATATATTTCAACGGTGATTAATATCAAATAGAAAGTCTGACCTCTCTGCGATTTTCGAACAACTAGGAATAATAAAGGACTTTGTGGTCGAACCCAACAGAATTCTTTCATATAAAAATAAATTTCAAGTTCGATATAAAAATTGTGAAAGAGGATCCGCACGCTACGTACAAGATTTCGTACAACGAGGGGCAATAATTCGGGACGGGTCGGTACAATATGTGCCAAAATCACACCCACCCGACAACCTTGGGACATGAAAATATATATGTGTCCTCTAGGGCGTCCACAAAAAAATGTGGGCGTATAAAATCGAAATTAATGTATTTTAATCAGACTGGACAAAAGTGAAACAAACACAATACTTACCAGTTTCACAGCGACTTCCGGTATACCCAGCGTTACACAGACAGGAACATGTACTGGTGTCTAAACTTCCAACATTACCACAAGATGTTGTTGTTAGACCACATGGTGCTGTAAATAAATATTATTATTATACAATTACCACAAGATGTTGTTGTTAGACCACATGGTGCTGTAAATAAACATTATTATTACAAAATTACCACAAGATGTTGATGGTAGACCACATTGTGCTATAAATAAATATCATTACTACAAAATTACCACAAGATGTTGATGGTAGACCACATGGTGCTATAAATAAATATTATTATTACAAAATTACCACAAGATGTTGATGGTAGACCACATTGTGCTATAAATAAATATTATTATTACAAAATTATCACAAGATGTTGTTAGACCACATAATACAAAATTATAAACAACGGAAGACCGCGGAAGCTGACCATAGATAGGATTTGTTCTCTAAATTATGACCCCAAAGCTTCATTCCATAGTTGAAAAGAATCCGTTAAAATCCATAATCGCGTTCACAAGGTATTGGCGTAAACTCAAAACTAAATTTCACGGAACGCTGAATATCACAATGAATTTGAAATCAATCCGTTGAAAACTGTTTTTGGCAAAATGCAACTCATCTAAGATATTTTGATGTGGTGTGTACCATCAAAATCTGACAAAAAAGAGGGCCCATAACCCTGTATAGCATGCTTTACCACTATTAATTTGTGTAAAACATATTTATTTTATGTTTCGTCAAAATCAAATAAAAGTTGTGATCTCTAGAGAATGTAGGAGGTTTTCGTACAACCAAGGGCAATAAGCGAGGACGTTACTATCTGATATGTGCTAAAATCGAACCCATCGGCGCTTTTTAGGATATAAACATCTTTGCCATAACATATTTTTCAAAACAAGCGAATAAAGATTGTTATTTGCAGTGAGGTCAGACAGATGCGACGACATAATAAGTCCACATCAAAATAAAAAAAAAACTATATATAACCCCCAACCCAAATACTAATATCTACAAGAAAATATATAATATAACTTACGTATTTGACACTGTGTACCAGAATATCCATCAAAACAAGTACAAGAACACGCATCAGTAAGAAACTGGCCCTTAACACCACAATAACTCGAGGGTAAATTACAAATCTCTGAAATTAAATTTGATGAATGCTGTTTTATTCAGGACAACCATAAAAGTTGTTTTATTCGGGACAACCATAAAAGTTGTTTATTCAGGAGAACTATAGTCTATATTTATTTTTATCGCCTTCACAAGGTTTTCGGCAAAGAAGGATAACTCGGGAAAGGATTGTTGTAGAACCTGACAAATTTTGATCTGTATTTTAATCAGAATGGATAAAAGTAACACACCAGTAAAACTTACCAGCTTCACAAAAACTTCCGGTATGTCCAGCGTTACACTGACAGGAACATGTACTGGTGTCTAAACTTCCAAAATTACAAGATGTTGTTGTTAGACCACATGGTGCTGTAAATAAATATTATTGTTACAAAATTACCACAAGATGTTGTTGTTAGACCACATGGTGCTGTAAATAAATATTTAATGATTGCGACCTTTTCTGCCGATAGATGGAATCATTTCCCAGCGGCATCCGTTCCAGCTATGCGCAAAGGTCTCGCAGACTACGCATTAAACATATATATATCCCCGACCGAGTTACTAAATACAAGAAAATTAATGATATATAACTTACGAAGTTGACACTGTGTACCAGAATATCCCTCCAAACAAACACAAGCACACGCATCAGTAAGAAGAAATCCCTTAACACCACAAAAAGTCGAGGGTAAATTACAAATCTCTGAAATTAGAGAAACGCCCACAAATAATACAAAGTACACACACATTCATCCTCCACCCACGACATACAAAATACACCAACATTTTGCTAGAGATTATCGGAAAGAGAAAATCGATAGGGTTCGTCCTCTCATGACCCCAAAGCTTCATACTAAATTTGAAATAAATTCGTTAAAACTGTAAACTGTATCGCGTTCAGGTTTGCTGCAAAGAGGGGTAATCCAGAACGATAGGTTGGGGAACATTAAATATCCTAAGAGGTCGTCCTTTCATGATCTGAACGCTTCTCACCAAATTTGATAAAGATCTGTTAAAAACTCTATATCGTATTCAACTAAGGGGATTTCCTTAACTCTGATCGCAAAATTTTGATTTCCGGGGTGGATTCCCATTGTCAGTAATGCATGACGAAGTGTCTGATAAAAACAGTGCCTAGTCCTTCGAGTGGGAATTCAACAGCTGCCTGGGCAACATTATCCCCATAGCACACTGTATACCGTATGCCCGTCTTCATTAGTCATGTCAGAGCAAAAAGTAAGTAGGACGTCAAACCCATTTCATTCATTTATTGCTTTTTCCACCATTAACACTTATAGAGGGGGGGGGGGGGGCATTTCACGAAAGTTAAATTAATCCGCGATTGTTGTGTAATTATTTGAAAGGTAATAAAAATGGAATACAGATCGTGACCTCAAGACGGTTCACAAGCTAT